TAGTGCCTGCTGCTAGCAGATGCTTGTGATAAATGAAAATGATTTCCATCTCCTGGCGATTAAGAAAAATCCACAGAAAAGCTACAAAAGCTACATGGTCCAAAGTGTTGGGGAAAAAAGTAGCTGCTTATAGTCTGGAAACTACGGTAATAGAACAGCCTAGTCAAAGTACAGACCTAAAACCCAACATATATTCTGTTTCATACTTGTAATCTTATATAAAAAAAATGCTGTCTATCAACTCGGATTATCTTGAACAACTTTTCCAAATTGAATGGACTGAAACGGCAGGTTTTGAATGAGCTCAGCCTACAGAGACATTTCTAAAGAAAACTTTCAGCAGTAAATGCAAAAGGTCTTCATACAAAGTGCTGACTCAGGCTAAATAATACAACAGAAGTTAAATAAGAAGTTGGTCTTGCTGATTTGTAATGCAAATCAAATGGTTATGAATACATTTGTTTTTATCATCTGGCATTCTATACATTGTCTACCTCTTTGCCGATAATATTTCTTTAATAGGTAAGGCTACATCATGCTTTTTGTTAAAATTTTTAAACTAAAAAACACTCAGAGTATAGAACAAAGAGCTGCTGTTCTGTTTCTCCGTTCTTTTTCAAAATGTTTTACTGCTTTTAACTGTAATAACAGAGTTTTAACACAAGGGGTCCCTGTTTCCCTGTAGTTAAAGCAGTTCCAGGATCGAGTTCCCTACCAGACTTCTGCACAGTCTTAGCTTTTCTCAGAACTGTTTGCCTCTGGGTAGATATATTTGTCCTTCTCCCTCCTTTCTAAATGAAGGATATGATAAATGTTTACTTTTTATCTGAAATGACCTTGTCTGTGGCTACGGAGTGGCTAAACACAATGAATGTAACATTCGCAGCTCATGTCCTCCACATGACTCTTAAAGCATTGGCTCCAGCTGCAGATTGTGCCCTGTGAGTTTCCTCCAAACTCCTACTGGGCTTTGCTTCAAACTCTTCAAGGTTTTTGAGAACGTTTTACTTTTTCATTTAACTCAAATATCCATTTATATACAAACATACAGCACAGCTATATCGAACGCCCAGTTCTTTAACAAGGAGTTTGCTCATTATGATGTGTTGGGAAGCCACTGCTGCCACAGCAGCCCTTCATTGGCCATTATCCATCAACAGTTGCATTTTAAAGTTTTACTTTATTTGATTACTAAAATAATGAAACCTTTCAATTATTTTCTAATTTGAGGTGCAACTATGAACCAGCATGAGTAAAACAAATGAAGAGCAACTATGTTATTCTTTGCTAGCAGGAAATAAGATGCTAAGTTTAAAATTCCTGTTGAAGTTAGACTTCACATCGTCATTTTGGATGTTTCTTTTAATGCCAGCCAACAGACCATAGAGGCGCTAGTTGTAAAGGCCAGTATCCACATGCAGGGAAAAGTCTGTAAAACCAAACTTAAAGACATCAATTCAAGCTGTCCACTCCTTGTTTTATGTTGACTCAACATCCGTTTAATCTCAACCGTAAACATAATTTCCTTCAAGTCAGCCAAGAAGTTGAATCTGTGCCTTCTTTAACCCCATGTGGGGTTTTAAACTGTCAGCACGCGGGTGTTTGATTCACCTGGGTCCTCCACGGTAAACAAGGCTCAAAGCATCCAAACAGGTGCTCACAAACAGCCTGAAGCCGATTCTGCTGCTTGCTGAATACTGTTCCATTAGTGGAGAAGCTGCAGATGGAAACAATTAAATGAACACGACACCAATAAAGTTACAGCATGCAGGCCAATATTTATGAAGTGATAGGAGCTAGAGAAGGTTTATAATGGCATATATTTATGTCATTTCAGGTAGATGTCTCTCTGCATCTTGCAGAACATTCTAGTGTTTGATTAAAAGATTTTGACATTTCAGGCGTAGTAATCCACCTGCTGATCTCTTCAAAAACAAATCCTTTTTTTCTTTCAAGTACAAGTTCTTATAGAAAGAGAATTGTCAACCTTCCTGGCATTTCTTCAGCTTGTCTGTTGTATTTTCTAGTTTATTCAGGCGCCACCCCTTTCTGCAGCTTTTAAACCCCTGCCTTCAATATACAGTGCAAAGCCATTTGAATAGATCACTTCTCAGTCAGTAGATGCATTTAAATCAGCGCAGACCGTGGCTCCGTGTGTCAGCTTGACTATAATGTTAACTCCTTGAGGAGTGCGTATGGCTGCAGTTAACACGCATCACAGTGATTGGCTCAGCTGTGTTTTTGGAGTGATGGAGCCAGCTGGCATCGACTGCACAGAAACACAGTTTGAGGTGTCCGACTTTGATTAGGTCTTTTAATCTCATCATTCTGCTTTGGTCTAAACTATTTCATTGCAGCTTCGACTGTTTGCTGCAGCCACCAGCAGCTGTATTTATGCTGGGGTTGATTCATATATAGGTGGACTATAGACATCAGTTACACTGGGTTTGATATAAAGGGACCATGTTAAAAAACAATGCCATCTGTAAATTGTATAGTTATGCAGGATTTTGTGTTTGTATGACTTGTATAGAAAAGTTCACATCTAACTTGAGAAAATTGATGATTAAGGCTTTTAATCCTACACCTGTTTTGCTCTCTCCTTCCAGCCATTAAAGACTATGAAAACGCTGCAAAGCACAGCGAGAATGACCATCAGATCAAAGAAGGTCTGGAAAGAGCCCAGCGACTTCTTAAACAGTCACAAAGGAGGGATTATTATAAGATTCTCGGCGTAAAGAGGTGCGTGTTGATCGAAGGATCTTGAATATGATTGGAGAAATTAGAATGTTTTAATTCTAAGTTTTCCATTCATAAACAAATAGTTCTACTCACTAAAATGACAATTCTTCCAACTGTCTTTTTCAGTTTATAGTTTTGGAACCAGTTTTCTATACAGAATGTCAACTTATTTTTAGTTGTGGCTTATTTTGACATAGAGATGTAATTAATCTTTAAGTTTTCAAACAAAATGCACTGATAATAATCTACCCATGTTTACAGAACTGCCCAGAAGAAAGAGATTATCCGCGCCTACAGGAAGTTAGCACAGCAGTGGCACCCTGACAACTTCCAGGACCCAGAGGAGAAGAAGAAGGCAGAGAAGAAGTTCATAGACATTGCTCAGGCTAAAGAGGTTCTCACCGATCCAGGTAAGGAGCCATTTCTGCTGAGTCTGGGCAGCTATTAGAGCCCATCATGCCGTAAATGTCAGCTTCTTCTGGAGTTGCGTAACACACCTCACTGCCATTTACTTTATCCTTTAGATCACTGTTATGACACTTCCACATAGTCCAGCAGAGCCGTGTCAAACTATAGAAAGCTTTAACTTCCTGCAGTTTTTACACTTTTCAGTAAGAATTAACCTAAAATAATGGATCGTCACATTTGAGTTTGTAATGCAATAAAACAATTCTGTATTTTTTTATTTCCATTTTGAATCACACCAAATTAATAAACAATAAATTATCAATTTGGTAAAATTAACTGAAATCAACTGTGTTTTCCAGAAATGAGAACCAAGTTTGACCACGGAGAAGACCCAATGGATCCAGAGAGCCAGCAAGGTCATCATCACCCCTTTAACGGAGGTTTTCACGGATTCCAGGGTTTCAATCCGTTTGGCTCCGGACCCTTTAACTTTAAATTTAACTTCAACTGAGAAGTCTCATCAACAAGCACAACTAGAACGGACTTCTGTATCTGCCTCCCTACTTGAAAGGGAGGTTGCCGACCCAGTGACTTTCATTAAAAACCATCTCAGTTGTTGAATAATGCAACTTCAGAAGCGACTGGGCTGGATTGTCTTATTTGTAATCTGCCTTGTTTGAACCGGCTTTTCTGTCATCAGTAACTCAATGCTGATGTTTGGATTGTTTCCTCATGTTGCATTCTCTGCAGTTCACATCAACCCTGATTAAATTTGTTCAAAACGACACTATTTTTATATGAATGAATTTTTGCTGAACTGTAAATAAAGAAGCTATTTATGTACATGAATCTGGATTTGGTGAAATGCTGTGAAGAAAGAGGACAAACGTGCCTGAGTTATTGTCAGGAAAAGAGTGTTTTAAAAGCACATTAATGAATGTGGTTTAGTTGTGAAAATGTTGAACAGATCAACCGAGTCCTTCGATAAAAGAGATGGTAAAAAGGTTTATTCTTTCAACACCTTCACGTAATCGTAACAATTGTTTCTGATTGACAAAGAATGATGAACAGCTGCAAGAGATCCCTGCCTGCACCTTTATTCAAATATGAATCTTAAAGATGTACCAAACAAAATGTTCCTGAGACTTGATCTTCTAGGAAGTCAGACAATGTTAAATAATTGACATATAAATTAAAATTATACATACTACCCATAAAAACATGACAGGAGGATTCCTTGTTTTTGGAAGGGAACCTAGGGCACCGTTTGTCAAACCCCACTCTGTAAACACTTTGGTTTTCCCTCACTGGCTGCCTTCTCTCTGAGCCCAAAGTCTCCATAAAGCAACAGTTAAAAAAAACTGCACATGTAAAACTATATTGATATATATTTAGACTTTTTCCCTGCAAATATTGGCTTTTTCTCATTTTACAATGACACAAGTACAGATTTATGTCCTCGCCAAGTATGTTCCAGAGAAGAACACAGGAAAGTATGGACTTGGGGAGAACGGGAGCACACAGAATAAATATGGGTCAATTGGAACAGAAGGGTACCCGTGATGTCGCCACATATTCGGCTTGTCTGGAGCTGCATTTCACCTCCTGTTATTAATAGTCTCTAGATAATAATACATTCTTTTTTCATTTAGTGGGGGAATAATAATGAAAACAGTCAGATTAACACAAATCAAATGAACATTTTGCCAAACAAAACAAAAAAAACTCCATCAGAGCCAGCTGTACTTTTCTCACGGCTATGCCGAGAGAGGGCTGCTGCAGAGGGACTATGGTTAGCTTCAGGGGTCCGCTGCTTGCCATGGTTCTCTCACTATCGGAACTTTTTTTTTAATTACACTCTAAATCCGTAAATGGGCCATATACTGATGCTTAAAAGTATAATGCTCTCACCTCCAATGATCTTTAAACATACTTAGAGAGATACTTATAGAACAACGGCAAAAGAGAAGAGAACTTACTACTCTGTTTTGTGGGAGCTAACCTGGAAGCTGCTGCTGCCGCGGTGCATGCTGTGAAAGCTGTCAATCCCGAGAACACTCAAGTCTGCTCTGATGCATACAGGGTGAAGAGGGAGGGGCGGGAACAACATCCGGGGTCTTTGTCTGTTCTCGGTCTTGTGTTCTTGTGAATTGAAACACTACTGGGGGTGAGGATGATGACGTTTCATAAGAACATGAGAACGCAGAAGTACACTCATTGACAAACAGCCAATGTTTTTTGAATATCGAGTCACACTATTAAATGACTAAATTAGATGTTCCAACCACCTGCATGGTTGGATGTGCAAAGGTGTGATAGGCCTCCACAGAGCGAAGGCTGCAGTTCTGGGTTTCTCATGTAACCATGAACCTAACCCTTAAACCTTGTGTAAGATGCTTACAGAAGTTACTGACTTTTACCGCTTTTGGTAATCTAGTCTCTGTACCGGCACCATCTTTAGGAGTAAAGAAAACTGAGGAACTGGATCAGTATTTTCCATTGTGGGAAAAGGAAACTGGAATACATCTGATTTTAAAACTTGATTCATTTTTTTTCTTTTTGCTTTGATGATAACTGAAATGGACAAAAAAATAATCACTTTGTTTTTATATAAAGGATATCCACTCTAGCTTGAGGTTCATTAAAAGAACAAGCTAAAATATCAGTCTTGAAAATGAATCATTTGTATGAATTTGAATCCAAGGTCAGGTGAACAGACACGTGACTAACGTTGGTCAGGGACTGCTGGAAGAAACAACAGACATGCAGGGTAAAATGAATGAAGGCAGGACCTACTGCTACATTTACAGTGTTAGAGATGCCATGTGAGGAGTAATCCTATATGATAGGTGGGTGGGGTTTAACAAATGGCTGACTGTCTATAATGCAGTTTGTGAAATCTATAAACCGTCTACTTTGGTTTGCCATTAAAGGCGAAAGAAAAGTCTTGCTTTGCAGTTAAATTAAGAACAATATAAAAACAACTGAGTTTATTATAATACGAAATACTAAACGATATCAAGATCAATGCCTGAACAGGGCAACATTTGCCAGATATTTCTCTTAAAGCAAACATGTATTGCTTTAAAATGCTGTTTATGATTTTCCTCTAACAGCGTACAGACAGTCTGACCGTCGAGCTTCAAGCCGTGGGTTCCTGGCTGCCCTTTAACAATTAAATCCTGTGCTGAGTTTGTGAGACTTTTACTGACTTCAGAAGCAGATATGACAGCTCTGAAAATATCACATCCTTTTCATCCGGCTGGGGATGGAACGCTCCACAGCTATGTTTAGCTGAAACTGCCTGTCTTCAAGCTTCACAGGTGGCCTGCGTGCAAAAAGGTGCTGCCAGCTTCCTCTTCACCATGCTTCTGGCAGACGCTAAAGTTCATCCCGCCGGTTCTCTGCCGCAGGAAAGAAATGCAGAAAATGAGCACTTAATACACCAGAAAAACAACCTAGATAAGGGAAAAGGTTAAAGCGTGCGGAGGAATAACAGACAAAGGTTACAGTTTGATTAATTCAACAGGAAACCACTGAGGAATGATTTCTTTTTCCTTTTTCTTTACCTTTTTTATGTGGTGAGGGAGCAGGCGTCTGTTCCTGGACTTGCCTTAGCAGCTCCTTTATCTCCTTGTCATATTCTACCCACTCAGGCACGATCCTTGCTGCAGCCATCAGCTTGGGCTCTTTGGTCTTTGGATTATTACACTGCACCGGAAAAGCAGAACAACACATCGCTCACACATCACCCAATGGCCCTTTGTTCATACAAGCCAGCTACCCAGTCCAAGTGCAGTCTGCGACAGACATTTGCACCTAATCTGATTTCCAATTTGGTTAAAAGGACATTATACCCTGCATTGTGTCTACGTTCCCAAGTGGTGACCTACAGCGCACCGAGACGATGCTTCCTGTTTCAGTCTGCTGGAGCACGTCCAGTAATTCTCCAAATTAGTTTAGGGCACTGTAGGACTGCTCACTGCCGGCTGCCTGCTAAATGCCAAGAGCCTCATGGACATTAGAGGTTGAAAATAAACGTTTCTGTGCTTCAATTCACAAAAACATAAAAGGTATTTACAAAACTTAAAACATTGGGTTCACTCCAATAAAAGAAATGGGTCAACTATAAGAATCTAGCTGTATATTACATTTTTTTTAAATAAACTTATTAACATATAAATACAGTTGTATTTAAAAATTGTACCTTGATAACACAACAAATAAAAAATGTGTTGATATAAAAATGTTAATAGTATCTCTTCAAGTTATGTATTGTGTTTTTGTAATGCTACGTTCACACCAAACGAGAATTCAGCAGCAAAGAAGCACCGGCTGCTTCCTCTTTGATGCTTGTCCACATTAAGATCAGACGTACAGTGTTTCCAGATGCTGCTGCTGCTTTTCTATTCAGTGGCAGAGAGCAGCTTTGCTATGTTTGCTGTTATAAGTGGGTAAAAAGTAGTTTTAATATATTTTTAATTGAGAAAGTCCACCTCAAAACTAGGGTTGTCAAAAGTATCGATACTCAAAAAAAGTATCGATACTGAAACGTTGTATCTGGATACAATACTCATTTTCAAAAGTATCGATACAGCAATCTAAAGTGCAGAATAGTGGAAAATGCACTTTCTGAACACTGTTTAATTGAATAATTCTGTGCATTTTTCAGTTTCTGACTTTTTTTGTAACAGGTGCAGCTGCTGAGAATTATTTTTGTTTAACTGGTTTGGCTAGTGTCATTGTTATGTCTGCAAAGCATAGCCAAGGAAGGAACGCTTAATTTTAATTTTGTAAGTTTTTTTATCAAACTTGCTTAATATTGTGCACAGCA